GTAAAAAGATCCACCTGGAAAAATGTCCTATATACCACAGGGATCCTGCAACAGATGTCAGATCACAGAGGGAAGGATGAGGAGTTGGAGACTTGGGGTGGGGGGGAGCGAGGACTGAACCCCAGCCCACTCCCAGAAGAAAGTACCCGACCGAAAGCCCAGTGGTCAACCAGAGTCCGGAGATTGAAGGAATGGGATAAACCTCCCGCCCGGAATAACTTTTAACCAAGGGAGCCGATTCCAAGAGGTCGAGATCTCCTGAAGTGGCCAGATGTAGAGCAGACCAGGGTGGCCTCTGTCACCCATCTGGCTCTGCCACCCACTCGTTTTCGGCGCTGTCGTAACTTTGCATGGTCACTAAATGAACTGTCGTGAGTCGAGGACTCCCTGCATTTGAATCTTTAGCAAGGGCATTTTGTTGTTGTTAATCGTGTCCGACCCGTCGTGACACCCTGGACAACGTTCCTCCAGGCCTTCCTGTCCTCTACCATCCTCCAGAGTCCATTTAAGTTCACGCCGACTGCTTCAAATGACTCCATCCAGCCCCCTCCTTCTCTGCCGTCCCCTTCTTCTTCTTCTTTTGCCCTCAATCGTTCCCAGCATTAGGTGTCAATTCATAAAACATTCCTAGGCCTGTTTTAGTAGTTGCCATAAAAAAAAAGGGTGGGGGGAGGAAGGAAATCTGGAAGAGCAGTTTGAACGCGGAAGTACATTCCAACTCTTCTCTTTAAAAGATTGTAATACAAATACCAGAGCTTTCCCCCCCCCCCGAATATATTGAATTGGAGAACATGATTGATGAACACCCAGCACGTAATTGGAGAATGTGATTGATGACACCCAGCCCGTGAAAGGGCTCAATTGGAGAATCTGGTTGATGAGACCCCCAGGGGGGAGAGGGGGAAACAGGGTCACAGGGGACTGTAAATTAAGTATGCCAGGGTTGGCTGAATATAGGGCAGTGCCAGTATATCGCCTCTAATGAATTCTTTGAAGTTTGTTGAAGTTTGGCTGGGGAATCATGATTAATTAGAGCGATTGCTGGAATCCTGACATTTGGCTCTTCTCCAGCGAGTCCTTCTTCCTTCCCATGAGGTGGCCAAAGTCTTTGAGTTTCATCTTCAGGATCCAGCCTTCTAAAGAGCAGCCAGGGTGGATCTCCTCTGGGACTGACCGGTTGGATGGCCTTGCAGTCCAAGGGGCTCGCAGGAGTCTCCTCCAGCCCCAGAATTCAAAGGCCTCCATTCTTTGGCGCTCAGCCTTCCATACGGTCCAACTATACAGGGGCATGATAGGACCCTGTAAAATGTCCCCCAGGGGCTAAACTGCCATTCCTGGGAAGCATCTGGGATTCTGACTTAAAGTCCAGCCTGTGCCATCTACCACTTCGATTTAGGGTCTGCCAGCCCAGCCTTTTCCCCACCCACTCCTGGCTGGGAAAAATGGCAGGAAGGGGTCAACTCCTAAGGGTTTTCTACTAGTTAGTTTTTATTTTGAGGGGGGGTAGGCTGGATTATCTTCATCACGAGCTCCCTCTGGTGCCTGCTTGAGATTCCTAGCAGGTACAAAGGTCCTTTTAGCTACTTATCACTTATCTGATTGCAGAAGGATTTGGAAGGAAGTTGAGCACTCCATACTTAAAACTCCAGTCATTAAAAAAAAATCAGATTTATTTTTTTTTGGAAGGAGGAAGGATTGCAAAGGAAAGGATTTTTGAAGAAGCTTTCCACCAAAGGTCTGTCTTGGAAAAAAAAAAGAAAGTTTCGCTGATGAATCTCCCTTTCTGGAGCTTTATAAGGGCGCAAGGATCATGGTAGTACATTCCTAAAATATGTCTTATTGAGTTTATCCAGATTTTGGGGGGCAGCGGTTATTCAATTTGGGGATTTAAAAACAGAGATTTAAAGGAAGCCATGAATTAATTACCCATGAGAAGGGCAAGGGGAAAAAAAAAACGAGGCAAGGAAGACACAGGTGTGATTTGCACTGGATTTGTAATCCTCAAGGCAACTTTAAGATGGGTGGACTTCAGCTCCCAGAATTCCCCATCCAAAGAAAAGTTTATGGACTTTGCAAATTGAAATATCAATGGTTTCTGTTGGGTGGATGTATTGTTGCTCAAAGTTTGCTCAAACACGCAGTGTTTTGCAGCATTCACACAACACACTAAACCTGGATTTTAATCTGGGTTAATTTGGAGGGAGGGGTGTTATCAGGCTGTGTGAAAGCAGCCCCCTTGGCTAGTTTATGATTCAAGGCCCTGGAGAAATCTCGAAATAAGGAAATTCACTGGTTGGGTTAAATGTGAATGGCACCGAGGGAACCTGAAGGTTTGATTTATTTATATTTCAACTTTGCCATTCAGGAGAGATTTTAAGATTTTCTTTTTGTGGGGGGAAAAGGGGGTTGGGTGTTCTCTCAGGTAAAGTTCATGTATATTTGCTCGCCTCTTACTTTTCTGGGGGTGGAAGGTAAATTAGAATGTTGTCTGCCATCATAGTTTGATTTAATCAATAGTTAAATAAAAACAGACACCTTCACTGGCTATAGTAAAAGCAAAGTAGTTTTCTGACTATACTTTTTTATTTCATTTCATTTATTTTATTTTATTTATGTATTGCATTTTATATTTTATTTTATTTTCCACAACTTCTTTCATTCATATTATTAATCAATACTGAATTAATATTAACCAAGATTAACATGTCATATTTTTGTTGTTGTTGTTGTTGCTCTAGCCAATCAGCGGCTAAGAAATTCAATTTTCCCCACCCCCTCTCGCCCGCGGAACTCGAGTTAAAGGGCGGGGTTTAGGGAAAAGGGCGGAGCGAGTACAAGAACGTGAGTGCGCACGCGCACTCTCTTCTCTACCTTTTTTTGTGTGTCCGCGCTTTCCCGCTCTTTTCGCCTTCCTTTCCCCCCCTCCCACTATTCTCCCGCCTATTATTTCCTCCTCGGCGCACGCGTCCGAGAAGAGGCGCGTCCTGCCCCCTTCCGCCCTCTCTTTTTGCCCTTTCTCCTCGCTGCGCAGGCGCGGCGAGGGGGCCTCGCGCAACGCGTCCGGGGGTTCTTTAGGCCGCGCTTTGCCTTTCCCCGCCGTTTTTTTTTTTTTAGGGGGAGGGGGTGTGTGTCCGCGCAGGCGCAGTACCTTATCTCCGCCCTTTCGGGTCACTCATCATTGGGGAGGCTGTGGGGGGCTCGCGGTCGCCATCACCATGGGGGTAAGGGGGGGTTGAGGGAGGGAGGGGGCAGAGTTGGAGTCGGAGGGGGGGGCGAGAGGAACCGCGAGGGGGATCACATTTGAGGAGGGGGCCACTAAGGGGGGAGCTGAATGTAACGGTGGGGGACTGGGGGGGGTCATAATTGGGGGAGAATTTGAGGTAATGGGATGAAAAGCCTGGCCTGAGGGGTGAGAAAGGATATGGGGGGGGGCAGGCTATAAATTGGGGAGGGGGCTGGGGGGAGAGAAAAACTGGGTGGGGGGGGTTGTCAGGATCAAGATGAGGAAGAAATGGGTTATTCTAATTTATACAGCTGCTCACCTCCAGAGAGTTTCGATATATCTCCCTTAGGGGTGAAAATGGGGGTCGGCGGGGCTTATATTTTAAATATTCAGCAGAGTTTGGGAGGGGGGTGGAAAAAAAACCTTTTGTAAAGTCCTTGGAGTGACTTTTCCCTCCTGGCCTCCCAAGAGGGTGCTAGACTACAGTTCCCATCCTCCACAGCCAAAGGGGGGGAGGCATCTTACACAGTCGAGGGGTGGGTTTGGGGTGACAAGGATATTGGACGGATGGACAGACAGACATAAACAGATGATTGATAGATAGAGATACAGACAAAGACAGGCATAGAGAGACATAGATAATAGACAGATAAATATATGGATGATAGATGTGGATAGATATAGACAGACATTGATAAATAGTTGATAGATATCAAGGCAAAGAATATGCTTAATACTCCTATAATATATAT